TTTGTTTAGTTTTCTGTTTATATTAACATCAAATTAATGTCTAAAAAAATTTATACTACTTTTTATTACTTTAGAGGTTAATTTCCTACTATTAAATCTAAAAAAAATGGCAAATCAACTCGTTTACATTATTTCTCAAAAACTCGTTGTCCTGAACAGGAAAAATAATATACCTAATTTTTTTTTTATCAACAGACACGAGAATTTGCGAAAGTATCCTCCTGGTCTTCAATATAGGATGTCAACATTAACATACACCAAGATCTACCGTTGTAAAGTTTGTTCCAAAACTTTTCTTGTACTCGACCACCTTGAATTCCACGTAGAATTTCAGCACATATACCGCTGCTTCATGTGTAAAAAATGTTTCATCGGACCTGATCAGTTTGAAATGCACGTAAACTCTGAGCATAGGCATTTCTGCTGTTTCTGTGAACGAATTTTTGTCACACGCCGCAATCTTCAATGTCACATTACAGATTACCATTCGCAGGAATCAGCACACTAGCACCTAACAATATGTTCGTACATTTATGACGAGAAAATTTTTGATCCAAAGAGATATGTTGCAAACACAGCAAAAAGCCATGTATCTTTAGATTACAAGGAGCTTTTTACATAATAGTAACGTTCAAGTGCAGTTTTATTCAAGAGGATTATAAAAATCTAAGTATCATCACTTTGCGTCGAAGTACCATCTGCAGAAAAGTTTTATGAGAACCAAATGAGTTTTATCCTTAATAGACATTAAGAAGTAACTATTGCCAACACAATACATGAACTCAATTACAATATTTCTACGGTAATAATGATAATGATGAAATTAAATATTTTAAAGTTAACTGAATCTAAAAAGAGCGTAATACATTTTTTTAAATCTTGGTGACAACAAAAACATTAGAACATGTGTGAAAAATTCCATCGTCAAGTGAGTTGTGTTAGAAATTATTTTATTTCATATACAATTAGGTGATACTACTGAATTGTATTAAAACATGAGCATGTAATGTATGACGTACTTTGAAATATTTTTGTCAAATATGTATTAATAAAAATATTTTAAACATGTTAGTTGGATTTACTATGATACTTAGCGAATTTTGTGTGATGTAAATTAAAAAGTGCACATTTACGTTGGTGAAAAAAATTATATTAAGAAATGAGAAAAATATTATACAGTGTCTATAAAGTCTTCTAGAAAGATAAACACTTTTTTGTTTATATTTTAAAATATTATTAACATTCTGATGAAAAATTCTAAAAATACAAGCTTATAAAGATTCGTGTGGATACTTGTATGTTCATAAGACGCTACGGTTGTTGATTTGGCAACCATATAGCACGAAAGTAATATAACCATGGAGCAATATTTCAATCTGCTTATTTAAGAAGACCCCTTTGTAATTCATGATATTTGAGCAAGAACGAGGGCTTTTGATGCATCTGATTTTATGAAAAGCAATGCGCAAACATTCCTATCACTGCTCTTTTTTACGTATATCTTTAAGCCCGTATGAAAGGTCCAATGCGCATACCCAATAGAGATCGGTGTATGTGTATGACTTATGTATGAGTACACAGATGTTTGTATAGGTACGGTATCAGAAGATCGAAGAGACTTGGAAGCTGTTTGCATGGCTACCCAATTTCTATCTCTTTTTTCAATCCCTACATCACTGAAAAGATTCACATTTAAGCAAATTTTAATTTATTTGCCACCATACGGTTTTTGTACACGAAATATTTCATAAGATAATGAAAATTTCGTGATCTATACACGTAAACGTAACCAATATAATCTTTACACCTATTGGAAACAATCAAACAAAACTTTACAGCTTGATTTACAATGAAGGGATGGAAATATTTTAGTTACAATAACATTCGTTAGCCTTAATTTACTTCAATTTTTTTTTAACCAACTAAAGATTCATTTGGTTGAGCGTTTCCAAATGCATATAAAAAGTTAAAGTTCATACACGAATGACCATAAAATTTTCGTTAATTTTAACTTTTACTAGAAAAATGTAAATTTATCATACAATAAATATAACTAAGTCCATA